TTCACCTGGTCTGTCAGTTGTGTTTTCCACTAATAAAGTGGGTGGCAAATTACTTTCAGAATGTACATTGAGCCAAGAGCGTATTTTAAGTGTGGGGCCTTTAGAGTTGGCCCATTTGACCGCTGAGTTGCGCATTTTTACTCTGTGTTTACAAACTTCAAGACGTTGCCGAGACTGAAATGGGTTCCAATATTATTTAAATAGATTTATATTTAGACGACAGATCACCATTATGGCACAAGGAAAACAACCCAAAAGTGTTCCGTTCTGCTTCTGACTCAAGCCTAAGTCCGAAAAATCTCAGTGCAGTGCACGGACTCAGTAGCATTGGCAAGGATGCTTAAATACTTTTGGGGCTGCGTGGTCTCGAGGGACGGCGTCCGCCTCGAGTGCTAGAGGTCGCGGGTTCAAGCACCGGTGATGGCTGGGATTTGTTTTACGTGGACTTCTTTTCATTTTCCTGGTCTATGGGTAGTAAGATTAGACGCCCATGTGTATTATTGCGCACGTAAAAAATGTCTTGGCAGTTGACATTTGAAAAATAGTAGCCTAACCTTACTGCCCTGGAAGAATTATTGATTTTAAAAATATGTCCAAAGTATTTGAAGTGTTTATACTATAAGGGGTATGTGTGATTCATACTGGCACAAGAACGGAGCAGTTAAGTAACGACCCTTCTTTAGTAATGTTGGAACCTTGACTAACAACTCAATAGGTTAAGTAAACAACGCCACCCCTTTTTATTACGGCCGAAGTAAAAAATATATCTATGAAGCAAAGCATTTGGGTATCAGACACAATTCATCTATGATGTGGCCGAATTGTAGCACCGCCCGGTCAGCAGACAGGTACCCCGGCAGTGTATTTAGCTAGTGAGAGTTGTGTGGTTGCGATGCAGCAAGAAGCAAAGAGCGAAAATTAAAAATTATATTTTAAAATGTTTAAATTGTTACTAGGTCAGTAGAATTTAGGAGACAATAGTATGGGGATCAATTGTTATGTCGTGCCCCTAGATTCATGTGATATTTCACGATTCAATGCTGTTGTGGAAACGATTAATGAAGAAACTAGCCGTATCGTCTTTCTATGTGTAATGATAACTCTTTGCTAAAGTCAGAGACCCGATACACTAACATCGATGCCTGGTTGTGGGGATGAGGTCAGATGTATTTGGTGTTGAATCTGATACAGTTGATCTTTATAAACTTCTGTCATCAAATCAGCTGTCCGTGAAGCACATTACAGAGTTTAGAACATGCTGAAAACGTAACCACGCAACTATAGTTAGCTTAACACAATGTCTGCTGACTGAGTCCCAGTATAATTTCGCCAAGAGCTGATAGGTTGGCTGAATCCGCTATCACTACCGACGGTCAGCCTATGATCATGCTAGTATTATTAATGCCCTCAGAGAAATGGGAAGGATAGAGGACCTTTGGGTAGTGAATCCACATCACTCACCAGAATGGCAGACTTGGGAATTAAGATCGGGATAGCAAAAAACAAGACCCACACCAGACACACCAGAAGACTTTTTAATCAATATAGAACTGGTACTATTAGCCATCGGACGTTGGGGTTCATACTGAGAGGAGGATCTGAGCACCTATGGGCATGTTCGGAGTGCAATGATGATAACCCAACTAACTAACTAGCTAAATAATTTCGCGAAGTCACAGAAAAATGATGCCAGCTTAGACGACTTGCTTTGCTGCATCGATGACGTTTCTGCTTTCATCATAACGAATTCCTTCCCATTTTTGAATTGCAAGCTTACGTATATATTTGTACAACATAATACCTTTATATGGTATGTTCTTGTGTCTTTGTCTACGTTGTGTGTGTGTACTTGTGTTGATAGCTGAATTTCTTTATTGAACGAATCTGGATTGCTGTTTTTTCAGTTAAAGCCAGTAAGTACAATTATTGTTCTACAATTATTTAATACTGAAAATCCAAACACACAGGACATCAGGAATCTTGAAAGTTTTACTTTTTTTTTTAAATTAAGTAATTGTGCTATAAGTTACACCTGAGCGTTAAATATTTTTGCTTGTAACATAATTTTTAAACTGGTTACTGCTCTTTGTTGAGTCAAAAATAGTTATTGATTACTGTAATTAGCACTTTATAATTTAATGAAGTCAAATATTAAAACTGCATTATGCATAGAATCACTTACAGATGGGATGAAAACAGAGCTTTTTTTTCTGGAAAAAAAAAGTGCTTGTAATCACAACAAGGTGCCTAAAATTTGTGCCAGCACTTGCCCGTGATTGTTTTGAAAAAAAAAAAAAAAAAGCTGACTGTACAGATCACAAAATGTTTGAAACGCTTCTGGCGTAGAAAATGTCACATAACTTTTTTTTAAACTATACAGAGAGCAGTTATTACATTAGACCTGGAAGAAAAATGTTCTGATACTGGGTACGATAAAAATGTGTGCATGTTCCACACACACACACACACACGCACACACACGCATATATATATATATATATATATATATATATATATATTATATATATATATATATATATATATATATATATATATATATATATATATATATATATATATATATGTGTGTGTGTGTGTGTGTGTGTGAACACTTGTATATATGTGAACACTTGTATTTTCAGTTGGATACAACGGTAACAATGCTACATGTAAGTATCTTTTCAATTCAGAGGTAATGTCTGGCATACTCTGCTTTACTCATTTTGATCAAGAAGTTATCACTTTAACCACCTCTATCACAGGACGTTAACTTTAACTAACTCCATCACAAGCAGTTGTTACTTTAACCACCTCTACGTCAAGCAGTTGTTACTTTAACCGCATCTGTCCCAAGACATTAATTTAACAGCATCTGTCCCAAGACTTAACTTTAATCAACCTTTATCCGAGGACGATACTCTAGCCAGCTTTATCCACAGACTTCACTTAACCACCTCTATCCCAAGCATTTGTTACTTGAACCACCTCTATGTCAAACAGTTGTTACTTCAACCACATCTGTTCCAAGACATTGATTTAACAGCATCTGTCCCAAGACGTTACTTTAACCACCTTTATCCAAAGACATTACTTAAACCACCCTTATTCTAAGAAGTTATTTTAACAACGTATATCCCAAGCATTTGTTACTTTAACCACCTCTATGTCAAACAGTTGTTACTTCAGCCACATATGTCCCAAGACATTACTTCAACCACATCTGTCCGAAGACGTTACTCTAACTACCTCTGTCCTGAGGCGTTACTTTAACCACGTCCATCCCAAGCAGTTGTTACTTTAACCACCTTTATATCAAGCAGTTGTTTCTTCAACCACGTTTGTCCCAAGACATTACTTTAACCACTTCTGCCCCAAGACGTTACTATAACCACCTGTATCCCAAGACGGTAATTTAACAACCTTTATCCCAAGACGTTACTTTAACCATCTCAATGTCAAACAGTTGTTACTTTAACCACATCTGTCCAAAGATGTTAGTTTGATGCCCTCTGCCCTAAGACGTTACTTTAACCACCTCTATCCAATGTAGTTGTTACTTTAACCACCTTTATCCAAAGAAGTTGCCACTTTAAATACATCTGCCCAAAGAAGTTGAGCTGGAAAGCAATAAATACACAGACCTGATACAGATTTTCAGAGGCACTGTTGGAAAGAAGTAGCATCACTGATAATTCAGAAACCGAGGTTAATATGGAGGGAGCTGCTCAGAGGGAGCTGATCAGACAGTCAACAGCATCTGATGGCCCTGCGACACGCAGTCTAACTTGGCGATGATGACAGTCGTCAGGCATAGAGTATTGGGACAATGATCCAACACTGTCTTGGATTTGAATCTGCACGGAGTCCAATCACCTTTCAAAATGAATTTGGCTCCAAGGTCAAACAGCTAATAATGGGTAACAGGTATGGTCATGGAAAGTAAAAACGGTCGGCGTGATTGTGACAACATTAGAGATGAGGCTCAGATGGTAAGAGGGAGCTTCATATGAAAACTGCAGAAATGTAATCGAAATTACAATGACCAAGACATTGTTTTGTAATCTGTCAGTACTATTGTGAAGGATGTCAAGAGTGTCAAGCATTTGCCTTCATGTTGCAGACGAACACTGCGACGTGTGAAACTTTTAAGATGGTTGGCCCACTTCTGACATGCACCAGAGAGAAACAACATTATATTTCCTTGGAGATGGGGGGGGGGGGGGGGGGGCGGTGGGGCGGAGTGATCACTGAAGGGGTGTATTACTATAGTCATACTACTGCTTTAAGTAACATAACTGCGAAATTTTAGAGGATTTTTTTTTCAGTTTTCTCTATGTGATTTATGAGTTTTTTTTAAGGATGAGCTTGGACCAACTTCTCTAGAAGCGGTTTATAAACTCAGAAAATCCATCTTAACAGCCGTCATTATGACGTCACCATGTTCGTCTGCACTATAATGTCACGTGCTCAAAACTCATGACATAAGACTCCATTATAATTTTTCCGTCTCAGTTTTCAAGTTTTAATATGAAACCCTCTGGTTTAGAAACATGTGTCTAATATACATACGATGCCTGGCTTCAGTGAAAAAGCTCTTTTTTTTTCTTTTCAACTAATTGAACACATGGTAGCGATATGTGACAGAAAAACCATCATATTATTTTTGGAAGGATCATTAAGTATGTGGTGAGCTGGTAAGTACTGAAGCGGTTCAATAATACATCAACATTATCAAGTGCATTAAAGACGAGTTGACGATCATTTTTAGTTTAATGTTGCAACAACAAGAACAACAACAAAACTTGCCCATGAGACCCTCTCGGAGGGCTTGATGATTTAAACCTACACCATTTGGAATGACAGGCAAGCGTGTAACCACTTGTGAACCATATCTTGGGTATGGTACAGTTAAAATAAGTGGAACATCTTAAATACGTTAGCGTAGAGAAAATTATCATAACTTTACAACTGATAACTCAGAAAAACCGCTTGCATTTATGCAAAAAAAAAAAACCGGTAACAACCCGACTGATTCTAATGTTTAGTTAACACTGTTTGTTTCCCTCGTGTAGCATCAGGTGGTCTTTCCGGAAATTATAACGTTGGTGAGCGTCTTTCTTAACTGGTTGCGAATCACTATGACTCATTATTACCTGATCCACTCGTTCATTCATTCATTCATTCAGGAAATGCATTCATTTATTCATTCATTCATTGAGGAAATACATTCATTCATTACTTCATTGTTTATTTTTTCAATAATTTGTTTATTGAGGAAAAACATTCATGCATTCATTCCTTCATTCATTCATTCATTCATTCATTCATTCATTCATTCAATTCTACTGCTTTTATTTCTCATAGTTTCTTCCAGAATAACATATCTTAAATAGTTTGAAATGCACAAACAAATACATGTTATACATGGTTAAAGGAGCTGCTTTTTTTAGGCCCCTATTGCTTCAAGGGTGGTGGCTTCAAAATGCCTGACCTCAGCCTCTGGTGCCTATATTTGTCGTGGCCATTACATTCTAAAGTATTTCTTGTTTCGGGAAGGCCTATGCATGATGAGCGGCGTCCGTGGCTAAGGCGTTGCGAGTCCGACTCGTAAGCCAGCACACCCACTGCAGGCTGCGTGGATATTTGTATGGGACGTCGCAGGTCGACCCAGCCTAAAATGGGTACCAGGATGGGCTGTCCTGGGAAAGTAAAGACAGCCGGCTTAATGCTGACCACATTACCCACAGAGTGCTGATGGTCTGTAAAAATATGGGACGCTCTGCCCATATGCACGATGCGCCGAAAGGCGTGAAAAGGGAACTTTACTTTTTTTTTTTTTTTGCATGATGATTCTAATTATTAGATTTATTTCTCAAATCTTGGATTTTGCAAGTGTTTTTAGTAAGTAAAGTAAAGGACCCTATTCCACACCTTTAGTCGTATTTGGATGTAGGACTAGACCTATATTTTACAAACCAGTCGGCACTTGGTTGGTGATGTGGTCAGCATCACGTCGGCCGCGTTTATTTCCAAGAACTGCGCCGGCTACTCACATGTTATACTTTCCCCTCTTCTCTTAACATTGCCTCTGAAGGATGAGGGGGCTGCGTGGTCTCGAGGCATGGTGTCTGCCTCGAGTTCTAGAGGTTCCGGGTTTATTAATTTCAAGTGGACATGGACTTCTAAGAATTCCACGTGGTCTCTGGGTAGTGAGATCAGACGCCCGTGTGCTTTGTTGCGTACGTAAAAAAAAAAAAAAATCCCCAAGCAGTTGGTAGTCGAAAAGAGTAGGCTAACGGCGCTGCCGGGGCGAAATTTGCAGTTTAGCAGTTAAATATTCTACCCAAAGTATTTCAGGATCCTCGCCGGTGCTACAGAGCCTGTGCCGAGCCTTTTCAGACTCAGACTTTAGTTAAAAGAAGGACGGAGCATTTATGGCTTACTACACGAGTGCCATAATATTGATTCATTGTTCAAACCTCAAATCTTGTAAGTATTGTTATACATGATTAAATCGCATTACATTTTTTTTTTCAGGTCGAAAATAAGCCCACGAAGAGGTAACTATGAAACTCCAATAAACATCTAGTTACGTTTGTGGGGAAAAGAATCGGCAGCGATACATGTCCTTTAAATAATTTTTGTTTGTTGTGGAAACTAATTAAAATTTGTATGCACCGATCAACATGCTAATACATTAATTTGTGTTATTGTTTTTTTTTTCCTAAATCATTCCGATCCGATTCTGTGCTTAAAAAAAATAATCACGTTCAGCTAGCATTCATGAAAGGGAGAGCTTTAGGTTATTATTGTGGCTAGGTTATGTACGCCATATACAATGGCTTAACATTTTACGCAACCAAGAGCTGTGAAAAGGACTCCTGTAGTGTTGATGCGATTAAAGGTGACAGACCCAAATACTTTGCCGACCGACGTCGAAGTAGTCTATCGGCGAGCCAGTGTGCGACACAGCCGCTGACGAAAAAAATCTATATATGGATTATAGGGTTCTCATTTACGGCTAGTAGTATTAGACTTCACACACACACACACACACACACACACACACAAAACTAATTCACATATTTTTTTTCCTTGGAATATTTGTCTGCTGCAATTCTATTCCATATTTAAGTGTCCGTGTCGGGATCATACATTCTGTAAATATGTCTTTGTATTGCATTTAGATTTTTGAAATCTGCCTCAACCCCGCCCTTAGTTCTCCTTAAAGATGATCGTTAGGGTTACGTTTATCCTAAATTTGAGAGACAATATTCTAATAATGTTGCAATTGTACGTTTCAATTATTTAGCATTTTCAAGTTTTGTGTTTAGTGACTGCGAAACGGTTTATAATAAACAGTGCATTAAAGTATGCCCTTGCTCTCGATTTTTTTTTAAACATCTCAGCCTGTTTTCACAGTCTGTCAACTTAGTACTGCGACAATGCACACAACTGCATATCGTAAAGTGAGATTTTAACAAAGAAGAATCGGATCACCAATCGAATGTTTTAAGCCTATGTACATGATTCTTCAAGTTCTTTTGTCATCTCACTGTTCATAGGATGTATTTCAGTGTCGTGGTTTTCTGTATGTCTTCAGCTTCTCAGGTACATGTGTGACCGTTTTGTTGATCTTTTTTTTAGATTCAGCCACACTAAGTATCCATCTTTATCCTGGTCTTCCCCTAGCCTTCCTTCCAGATGTTCTACTGTACAAGTCTGAGTTATAGTTTGGTCTGGCTGCATTCTCCCTAGATAGCCAAACCATTTTATTCTTTGACAGTATAATCCAGACATTTTTTTATTCAATTTTTCGCCCTAATTCTTGCATTCATAACCTTGTCTCTTCTTGTCTTAGTCACCTTACGCAGACAGGGCATTTCACACGTAGTTATTTTCTGTTATAGTGCCCTAATCATTGCTTGTCCATGTCTTCTTCTTCTTCTTGTTCACCGGCTGTGAATTCCGGCGGTAAGTCGCGGTTGTTCGTCCAAAATGGACTTTTGGCTTTTACCTTGACCTGAGTTTTGATGTATGACACTTACAGAATAAGGTAGTGATGAAGATGCTATTGATCATTTCCTGTTTTGCTGTAAGGGAAACATTTGGATGTCTAAGCAGTGGGGCTAACTGGTAGGTAATATTCGTACACTTTAGTGTTTTTCAAGTGTATGATTCAAGCTCTTTGAAAATATCCAAATGATCACCGTCATAATCCAGTTTACCATCCATCTTGTGCCACTTATGGCACGCACTCTATTCCTCCGTTCATATCTGTCCTTACAATCCATCTCAACACTTCTTACCTCGACGTGTGTTTTATAGTTTCTCTCAGTCATCGACAGGTATTATAGAGCTTCTATTTGACCTTTCTTCTTCTTCTTCTGCCTTCATCCGAAGATGTAATTGGGTTGTGTCCGTTTACAGCGTAGCTGATATATTTGCACCTTTCGGCCAACACATCCGACTTTTGCGGGCATTTGTTGACCAGGTTAGCCTTCCCGGTCTTTGACCGCTCAAGAAGCAAAAGCAACACACAGAACGGACAATTGCCTAGCAAAACCAGACAGCCAGTATATTCTGAAGCTGCTTCTGCTACGTTCTGGAAAGGATACGTAACTAACTTTGACGTCTGTACTTTAATTTGAAATCATCGCAAACAAAGGTGAGGCTGAAGTTTTCGGTAAAGTCCGAAATTCAAGGACCTTAACCCTGGTCCTAAACACAGCCCATAAAACTCCAAGAATATTAGACTTCTTAGGAGCTCATGGTCTTTGTTTGTTTGGGCTGACTTAAAATTAGAGTACCTTGGCGCCCTCTGTTCCCTAATTTATTCATTTCCTATTTTAGTGGCTCTTCACAATTCTCTTCTCACTTAGTCATATTATTTACCTAATATAGTGTACTAGGGCGGAGAAGCCCTAAGTACCAAGATAAAAATAAAGGAAAATAGTTCGTTAGGTGGGGACTAGAAACAAAAATATTCTAGTCCATCCATGAGATCTTTTGTGTAAAGTCTAGTATAGCCCAAACAACTAACGAAATACACTAAGTACACTAACTACAAATCCTAAGCTGATGGAAACAACTGTAACTATGAATACAAAGTTGAACAACATTTTTATTTAACTTCTCATCAGCACGGCCAACAAATAACGACATTAACGACAACATGCTGGAGCAAAATCTCAAATATATAGCGATCTACTATCCAACTATCTTTTAGCAAGAATGCAAATGATGATCTATTTTAAAACCATCTAACCACTGAGCGTACCCTCGACTGCAATCAGTCCGACCACGAACGTTACCTGTGGTAGCCATACCCATAGACCAGCCCATTGTGCAAAGCATCAGTCTACTAGGTTAGGCTTCCACAGGTTGGTCCGGAAGTCAATAGGTCGCTGCGACTCAACAAAATCTTTTATACCCAGCAAAACAGATTTTCCCCCATCTTCTGTCTGACTATTAGCTGCCAATGTTTCTCATTTTTGCCGGTTGGCCATTTTCAAACCAGAATAAACCTTCTAAGATCTTTAATCTGCTGTACTGTAGTCTTCGTCGCTTCCACCCTATTACAATAGCAATATAATAGTTGTCCTTCAATTGTTAAACATAAACAAACATTTTATATTTTTCCAGATTATGTATATAATTCAGTTTTACGTTATTGAAATAGGAACCATAAAGCAAGTTAACACCAGTATGTACTTATGTGCTCTGGAAGTATCAAAAAGAAGAAGTTTTCATCATCATCAGGTGCCTTGCCGACTGGCGTAAGCGACTATGCCTCTTCTCAATCCGTGATCTCCTTCAGCATGTATCAGTTCGGGTGCTGACACACCTCCTTGCCATGCAACAAGACCGTCAAGAAACTTTTCTCTGTGTCTTGCTGTATCCCTCCTTCCACAGATCTTTCCAGTTGTCAAAACATGTTCTATTTTCCCTTTTCTCATAACATGGCCGAAAAATGTTGACCGTCTTCTTCTGATGTCTGTGATAAGTTGTCTTCGCGCACCCGCCTCTTTCAAAACCTTTTGATTGCTCTTTTTTGCTGTCTAATGTATTTGAAGCATTCTTCTATAAAAACCACATCTCTGAG